TGACAACGCTTTCAAATAGTAAGAGCGCAGACATGCACTCCCTCATTAATTCCATTGATATACAGGGAGCATTTGACACCATTTGGTGGCCAGACATTATCAGCAGCTTGTCCTCTCTTTCCTACCATAGTGTGATAATAGATCTCATTAGAAGTTACCTGTACAACAGAGAAGTCCAGATCACGATGAATAATGACATCAACACCAAAAAAATTACTCGTCCTCAGGGTTCGTGCTTAGGTCTGACCCTGTGGAACTTAGTAGCAAACACTGCATTCCAGCGTTTCAGCAACCTTCACCAAGTCAAGATTCTGGCATATGCTGATGATTTCCTCATTATTGTAGCGGGTCGCAGCGATATCCAACAAAGATCGCAGGATTGTCTAGATATCTTTGCTCAATGGGCCAAGGAGCATAAACTTGAAATAAGTGCAAAAAAAAAACGCAAGCCATGATAATAGGACGTCGTCATCCCCTTAGGAGAAGAACCTATCTAAAACTACAGCGACATTCATTAAAAACAGTCTCAGAAATGACATACCTAGGTCTCTCCTTTGATAATAAACTTTCATGGACTCCTCATCTTAAAATTCTCAGGCAATCTCACTAACAGTATGAAACGTACTTCAGGTATGAAATGGGGCATACCGGCAAATCTCCTGAAATCTTGGTATGAAACCATTTCAGAACGCATTATTTTGTACGGAGCCTCCATCTGGGCCCAGAACCTCACTTTTACCATGAGGAAAACCTTGCTTTCTATACAAAGAAGTCAACTTTTGCTCATTTGTCGGGCCTATCGGTCTTCTCCAACATCTGCTCTACAAGTCACATTGCGGATCTTCCCCCCCTCTTGATCTTGCAGTCGAGAGGGAAGCCGCAGTGATAAAAGTTACAAGGTTTAATAAAAATACATCACTTTGGGGACAGAGCATAATCCACACAGACTATGAAAAATACAAATCTCGTTATCTTTGTCACCCAGCACAATTTGACCTAATAGACATCATCCATATAAACTCAGATTCTCCGGCGCAAAATGATCATGCATTATACACTGATGGATCTAAGACAAAGGCTGGCACAGGATGTGGATTCTGCGAATTGGATAAAGGCAGCATTATCTTCTCCTGGAAATGAAGACTGAACGAAAGTAATTCAGTGTTTCAGGCCAGAAACTCATAGCCTTACATCGCAGCAATCATCCACAGTCGTAGGAATGCTCTTAATCAAGTTCATATTTATACGGACTCCGCCTTCAAGCCTCCAAGCACTTTCAAGCATGCACAGCAGAAGCCCTCTTAAATAACTGTAAATTCTCTGTATTTAACAAAATACAGAGAACTCTCCTTAGTATCCCAATACCTTTTCGTCCTGTACTCTGTTTGGGTGCCAGCGCACGTAGGAATACTAGGAAATGAAAGTGCAGACGTTGGGCTAAAGAAGCTGCCAATAGTGCATTCCTTACTTGAGTGCCCAACAACACTTCCAACCTCGCTGCTAAAGCATTCCACATGCAAACGTCTTATAAGACAGTGGCAAACCCGCTGGAATGATGCTACAACGGGTCGACGTACACATGCAATGCTCCCAAGTGTAAGCATGGATCTGCAGAGCAAAACTGGAAGCATGTCACATTTCCTAACAGGATATGGACCGTACAAAGCCTATATGCATAGGTTTGGTCTACCCAACACAGACATCTGCGACTGTGGGAAAGTGGACAGTCCAGACCACTATTACTTTGAATGCCGCTTGACGGCGAAGTTCCATCTAGGAAAACCAGCACCCATGTTTCGCGCAGCGTGGTGGAATAATATTCAAAATAACAATGTTGCTCTATCGAAACTACATGCTATCACTACCTACTGCGCTGCAGAAACGCAGTAACCTGGAACAGCTCTTATCACAGTCATTCCCCAAATAGCTAAATACTATGTTTCAGCTCCTGTAATATAAGTATTTACTTTTTGATATATATATATATTTTATTAATCTTTTTTTTACATATATGTAGTTATTTAACTCTTTTGTTATAAAAATCTTTGTTCCATCGAATCAAGTTCTTGACATATACAAATATTTGTACTCATCCGGTGTAATACATTGTTCATACAGTTATCTAACTTTCGTAATATAAGTGTTCATTCCAATATAGTAAATATGCCAACCTAACACATGAAATACCAATAACAATGTTGCATAATGTCTATATATTTCTGTAGTATAAAAATATTTCTTCCCCATTGATTGTCACCACTTAAATGCATCCTATTTGACTTATTTATACACTGGTGTGCAAAAATTAAGGACGAGATGGTTTTTTCAATATAACTTTGTACAAAAGCTTTCCAAATCAACACATTTAATACCGTAAGATCCCCAATGCGTAAGGACATAAGTAATGTAAGCAACACTTACTAAAAGAGAAATCAGAGGGATAAAAAAAGCTTTATTGAAAACGTAGCATGGAGCGCAATGCGACTGAAGGCCGAAACATCCCTGTGATGGGTGTCCAGCAAGAAACATCCGGTCTTTAATAGGGGATATGATCTTCCCTGACTGCTAGGCAGGTTTCACAGCGTCTGCCCATGCTGAGAATGAGGGTGTCAATGAGTTGTTGAGGCATTGCTGCCCATTCGTTTTGCAGCGCCAATTGAAGCTCCGGAATCGTTACTAGTGGTAAGGTACGAGCTGCCAAGCATCTGCCTAGAAAATCCCATACATGCTCTATGGGATTGAGATCCGGAGATCGTGCCGGCCAATCCATACGTTCAATATCCTCACTCTCTAAGAGCTGTTCGGCAGCTACTGTGCGATGACATGGTGCATTGTCGTCCATGAAAAGGAACTGCGGACCCATAGCGCCTCTAAAAAGACGCACATATGGAAGAAGAATCTCGTTACAATAACGGGTCCCGTTGACTGAACCTGCGTCGAAGATGTGAAGGTCTGTACGACCAAGCATGATGCCTTCCCAAACGAGAACACCGCCACCTCCATACCTGTCCCTTTCAATGATGTTCGAGGGATGATTGCTGCTTCCCCGCTCTCTCCAGATGAGTATGCGATGAGAATCGCTACTCAGACTGAATCTGCTCTCATCTGTAAAGAGTACTCGTCCCCATTCATTGTCTCTCCAATTCCGGTGTTCCCGGAACCACAAAGAACGCCTTCTCCGCTGGGCAGGCGTTAGAGGTACACACCGTACAGGGCGTCGTGCAAACAGACCACCACCGTGCAGTCTTCTGGCCACGGTAAAACGCGATATTGGTCGTCAAGTCGCCTGTGTCGTGTGTCTAGCGATTTCTCCCGCTGTCTGCCGCCTGTTTCTTCTGGCCTGTAAGGCAATATACCGATCATCTGCGGGTGTGGTTCCTCGTGGACGGCCACTACTAAACCCCCGGATAGCTGTTCCTGTAGTTTGAAATTGTCTCCAAAGTCGTGAAACGATGCTGTGAGCAATTCCGAACTCTGCAGCCACACTTGTCACACTGCGGCCTTCCTCCAACTTCCCAATGATTCGACCTCGGGTAAAAGCATCCAGATGTCGTCTAACAGATTGATTATTCGCCATTTCTCGCTGAGGAAGCAACTCGGTGTGATTTTAACTGCTATACGGCGTGCAATCTCTTTCCCAGAAATACTGATCTTACACCGACAACATGCTTTATACTACTCAGACACTCTCCCATTACGTCTACCTGCATATCTGCGCATGTGCTACCGTACATCACCTTACTTAATCTCCTGATTAGTCTTTCTGTCCTCTCTGCCTCTTCGTTCAGCTGATATGCTAATTTTTCGACCAGTTTTTAATTTTTGCACACCAGTGTACACCAAATATAGTATTCATTTAATGCACTGCCAAATGCATATATGTGTATACGTACAATATAATTTCACTTATATATAGCATTGATTTATGTTATAAGAGTGTTCATATGTAATACTGTGCTATTCAAAATATCTTATAACAAAAGAAAATAATATGTACTGAACAACAGGCCTTGTATGCCAATTTAAGTGATTTCCGCAGAAATGACGTTCAATTCCGTACGGCAAGAGCTAGGACGGATGTCACTTTCGCGGTGTATATTGTATTGTATCAGCACAGTTATCGAAGGGATAAATAATTATGTTAGCCATAACACTATCGAATTGAGTGTCACTGCTTCTCACACTTTAACCGCGTTCCTTTTATAGTTTTAATGACATTTGAAGCCCATTGCAAGTATTCACTACGATCCTTTTTCGACAATATAGGAAAAGTAAATGACAGTTATCTCCGGAAGGGAAAAAAAAAAAAAATACGTATTCTTACGCGGATTACTCTTTGCTCTATTATTTTGTTCGCAAACAGAAAACAGTGCTCTATACTGCGAATTACTTTTCGCCTTTAAAATTAAATGTCTAAGTTTGAAAGAAACCTCACATTACAATTAATGATCAAGTTTTATTTTTATGTTTCTAATGAATAGCTCATTAAAATTTTTAACTCAGTGGTTAGTCATACTTTTGTCAGTTGCTGATCAAATTAATTTAGAGTTCCTCATCTTTGTTTGAGGAAAAATGGTTTACATGTCAAGAGTGTCGAAAATTACATTTCACATTAAAAACATAGATTTTTATTTATGTATAATTATTAGAAGTCTGACTTAATAAATGATCTATTTAATTGTACCCTACTGAAACAATGTTTTCTGTTCTTATGCTTTATACAAATATTTAAGGCTTTCGTATAGCATTCAGTATGATTCGGCGGATATTAAGACATTAATCAAATCAATAAAAAAATCCCGTTTCTTTGATAAAGAAATTTCGTACCATTTGTTGTCTTTATAATCTCTTTCTATCTACATCGTAATATATTTCTGATTTATAAATAAAATACAGTATTTACAATCAAGTGGCTTCAAAACTATTTTCCTCTTTTGAACTTGTCCTGGTACTAGAGTGATTAAATTTAGCGTTTCGAAGTAGATTATGAATTCATTCGATTTTCCAGTGATACATTTTATTTCTTTTAGAGATATGTTACATTTCAACTACATTCTATATTCGACTGAAGCAACCATAGAGTTTCATCTGTATTTAATGTAGAACACCATAGTCTTCAGCATAAAACATGAGACACGGATGAATAAACTTCTGAGGAGTTACCTTACCTGTAAAATAAAGTATTATTATAGCATTTATTAGTTAAAGATATTATATTCAAAAGAAAGAACAAGTATTTTGCTCATATTTTTTTTTTTTTTTCATTTTCCTTCACAGTTTACACGTTTTACTCTACATGAATGATGTTTAGCACTTTTAAATAGTATTGCTTTTAATCAATGAATTTGTATTATTATTTGTAACAGCACAATATGATATAAGTGTACGGCGGCTTTCTTTAATTACGTATATTATAACTTAAGGATTAATGCTTATTGGAATTCTTTTACACAGGGTGTTTTTTTTTTTTTTTTTTTTTTTTTTAAATTGAGACTATTCACAGAGCCATCTGTAGCTTGATAAGCTGGAATGCCGCCAAATTTGGATAAATTAGTTTCAAAAGTTGCTGATGGGGAAAAATGTGGCACTGTTCAGGGTTTCCAGATCGTGCGATTTTTCGCAAATTTGCGACTTTTGATAAACTTGTGCTACTAAAATTTTAGAATTTGCGATTTTGCGAAATTTTTGCGACACCATCATTTCCTTATGCTATTTTTTGCGACTTCAGTTTTTTTAATATATCGTAAAATGCTTTCATGTTAAAATAATGTATCAATTAAAAATAATTTACATAAGAAAAAACAGTTAATTTAGGCTCAAATAGAAGTTGGCATCTAGCAATCCAACTTACATGTGGGCTTTCCTTTAAGGCTGCCCAGCCTGATCCTGGTATAACGAGAAGGGGGAAAGGGAAAAAGTAGAAAAAGAAAGAATGGAAAAAAAAAAAAAAAAAAAAAAAAACCCTGCTTCGAAACCTCTACCTTCCCCCCTCACCTCCCGTATGTTTTGTTTTTAAGTCAGTTCAGTTTAAGTTTTAAGTCAGTGTTGTTTTTAAGTCCAGTTCTATGGTAATAACGAATCGAACAAAAGAACTTGCAGCTTGAGTCCCAAACAGAGAAAGAAATGAAACACATATTGGGTATCGAAACAGAGAAAGAAAAGCAACATATATTGGGTACCCAAACAGAGAAAGAAATGAAACATATATTGGGTGCACAAATACAGAAAGAAATGAAGTTAATTCTTCTGATTATAATATTGCTAAGAACTAAGCAAGAAATGACTTAAAAATCAAAGCAACGGCATTTTTCTAAGTAACAAAACAAGTAAATTTAACCGTGAAAGAACAGGGCTTTCTTTAGTAATCAGAATCTGAAATTAATCCACCAGGCAGAACGGAAAACTCACTGAAAAACAATCCTCGATTAAAATGTTCACAATTAAAAAACCAATTAATTAAAAAACTTAACTGCCAACTCAAAAAATTTAGTACAAAAGCGCTAACAATCTAAAAGTGAGGAATTTCTTAAGAATGGATATGATAAATTAATTAAAAAATATAACCTAAATTAAATGAGAATTAATTAAAAAAGAAATGAATATTTAAATAATTGAAAATGAGCACTATAGTTTTAAAATTTTCGTTAAAGCTAAGATATGTAATTAAAACGGCTAAGAATCGAATACATTCTATAACTTACGGAACCCAATAGATAGTAAATTTGTGATGACGTCAGAGGTCATGTGAGCATGGGAAACTATGACGTCACAAACATCACGTGATCTATGACGTCATTTCCGATTTTTTGCTACTTTTTGAGTCTGTTTTTACTACTTTAGATGAAAATTTTCTGGCAACACTGGCACTGTTCTAGTCTACACAATAATGCAGCAAATGAGCTACCTTAAAAGGGTCTTACAATAGGACCACCTTCTCGTAGATCACAAACTGCATTCCGTAGATAACATTATTGACAGCCGAACGTAACATGTCATCTGGCATACTCAGCGCAGCCCGAGATATACTGTCATTTAAGGACGTCGAAGTCAGGACACACCAAAATAGACTTTGAACTTCAAATAATTCCACAGGGAAAAGTCACATGGAGTTAGATCTGGGAAGCGATGCCGCTATGAAAGTGGAAAAAAACGACTTATGGCCCTTGCTTGTGCAAAGTGATGGCGCAGTTGCCGCTGTAACCGATGGATCAATGTGAGGCGATGCTCTATCCTGCATAAAAGTTATCTGATATAGCAACCGCCTCTGTTGAAGTTAGGGAATAAGAAAACTAATCAGTATATCATGATACCTTTACGTGATTAACGGTATAGGTTTGTGTTTCTGTTAAGGTAATATTCTAAAAATGAATGGTTCACTGATGAATTTGTTGTGAAGCCATACCAAACAGTGATTTCTGTTGAATGTAATAGGATTTCTTGAACTGCATGGAATTGCTCGGATGCCTAAATTCGAAAATTGTGAGTGTTAATAGTCCCATTTAGGTGAAAATAGGTCTTATTTTCCTATATAATTCTCCACGGCGAAACCTTGTCGACTTCCACTCTGGCAAGAAATGTCAGAACAAAGGCCACTCTTTTATCATAATCATTGTGATTTAATTCCTGCATGCGGCTTATCTTGTATGGATAGAAGAGAAGAACTTTCCACAAAACTTGCTATGCTGTTGAAGGATTCAAATCCAAGATTAGCGCTATACCGCGGTACTGCTATTACCAGCAATGATCCCGTGGTGCAGTCAACGACTACAGTTGCAACATCAGTAACTGTCTCTTCTGACACTGGTCTCCGCAGTATACCAAACTGAGCTGCTAAGGATCTTGGGTTTTTTTTAAACTTCTGAATCGCCCCTTCTAATGCATCATTTGATAGAGGGCCTTTACATAGATTTTTAAGTCTTCTAAACTCATAAAGAACGGCGTTTGCGTTTGATTGAGGAAGATAAAATAACTTCATAAGTAATGCGTCCTGAGGTAAAGTGAGACGCATGTTGAGCCCAGCTAACAATCGGGATGTCTTTCGGTGTTTTCCATTATCTTTACAGACTGAACTACTAACGTTGCTGTCGCTTACGTAACGGATCAATTTCAAATTTTACCTGCCCTTCGTGCAAATTTTCAGATGTATAGTCTAGAACAGCGCTACATTTTCCCCTATCGGCAACTTTCAGAACTATTTCTTTCATAGAATCTTTCTTCCCAAGCCGTCATTTGTCCCTCGACCACATTTGGTGGAATTCCACCTTATAGATCGAGCTGCAGATGCCTCTGAGTAGTCTCAGTTTAGAAATAAACATCCTGTATAAAAGTGTGCAGGTTAAAAAAATAAAATTAAAGTATCAGATATGGCAGTTGAGTAATATACAATCCGATTTAAAGTTCTTATTAAGGAAATCTGCATTAACTCACTTAGTATGAGTAACGAAGTTCAAGGTATGCGATTAAAAAAAGAACCTAAGAAGAAAAGTAAATATGGGGAGAGAACTGTATTTCTTACAAGAACAACAACAACAACAACAAAAAAAAATAATAATAACGTCTGGCATTTTTATTCTCAGATCGGAATATGACCTTTATACCGAATGCATGGGAAGAAGAGCAATGGTAATATTTTATTTCATATTTAAAAGCATTAGAGAATGTCTTACTTCAGCAGCTTATAATAATATTGCATTTTCCGTTTTAGATCTTTCGAATAAACGACTCATATAACAAGGAAAACCTGAGCTCGATTCAACCTAATATACTGTAAACCTAAATAACCAGTAGTCAGTGTAGAAAGCTATATTTTTCTAGAAGATGTTACAACTAATTTCCTGCAAATCTTTCGAAACGGAAATAAATTTTCCGCTGTTTGCTGTTAAACATTTTGACGAAGTCAAAAGCATTCCAAAACGTTTTTTGAAAATAAACCAACGCATTCTTCGAAAAGTAGCTTTCAATGAACTTTCGATTAACGGAACTCACAGTGAAGACCGAACAAGCTCTAAATTTTGAACCTGTGTTCGGAGGGTTAAAGCTTGAAGATCTGATATATACACACACACACCTTTTTTTCTTCTTTTCTGCAAAACTGATTGCCATTAAAATCACTGTTTCTGTCAAAGGATAAGGAAGTTCAAAGATACCGCAATCAAAGAGTTAAGTCTACGCAATGTAGTAGAAGAAAGTAGTAAAAGTAACTTGACGGACGGCTTTCTTTTCAAAGAATGATAGAATCTAACTTCCTTGTCTTCGCACCATTGCGCGGAAAGGTTTTAAGCCATCAGTCAATAGGATGCTTTCTTCTCCTGTAATCCTGACTTTTCCCTTCAACCTATCTGGTGGTGATATTAGGTGGATCTTAGAACTGATATTTGACTTCGATTCTTATGCACTTGGTATAAGGAGTGAGGAGCAATTCGAAACCTTATGTAGCTTCGAAGCAAATTCTTTTAGTGTATTTTGATTACTATTAAATCTACGAAAAAGCTTAAGAATTAGTTAGAAAGAAGTCTCTAAATGTAAACTTTTAATTCGAAAGATAATGTTACTCAATAAAATAAATTATGCAATTTTTCATAAATGTTTGCCTTAAACACAATGTGTTTAATTTAACCTTTAATGCAGCATTAAAGCGGCTGTATATAAATTGTATTTTGAGCTTAATCAGCTCAGTTATTTTCGGAATAATAGGATCTTGAGGTTTGGTGCAATATGGAGAAATGTGATTAAACTGGCGACTTTTAAAATGGAGCCTTTAGTCACTTTCACATTGTTTCCATATTGGTTCCATTCGCCCATGGGCGTACCCAGGATTTAGATTAGGATGATGCAAGTAACCTTTGATTTCCTTAGATGTTGCGTACAGTAAAAAAAATCATATTCAATATTTAAATATGCAAGTTTATGACATTATTTAGCATCAATTATAAAAGGTTACATCTAAGAAATCAGGCCTCTAAATTTCATGGACTATGTGATCTTTCAATTATTTGTTACATGGCTGCTTCAACAAAGCAAGTGAAATATGAATAAAAATACATAAATTAATGATTAATATGCAACTGTAAAAAACAGACTTTTTTAAAGGTGCTGATATAGTTAATTTAAAAGATTTACTTGTTTTTGATACAATAAAAGTGATGCTTAAAGTGTAATTTTGAAAACC